ACATTTGAGGAAATTGTAATGGTTATGATTACGGATGTAATCAGTTACCTTGTGAGGGTAGCTGAACAAAACATACAAACGAACGGAATCAAAATAATAAGGCAAAACTAGGAAGCTCTGCGGTGCTTAAAATAAATTTTCTGTGTCTTCGCTGGAGAGTCATAGGTTGGTCATCTGGACCCAGTTGTTCAAAGGGCTGATAACGCTTTCCAACGGATAAGTGTCACCAAAAAGTACCGCGCTATCCACAGGATAGAGATTTATCCAGCGGATAACGTTATCCACCCATCAAACAACCGGGACTAGCTGGTATTTAACTCAAAGTAATCCATACTGAAATTGCATAAATATCGATGCGTTAATACGGTTCAGTATTAAACAGAACAGAACAGATGGAACTCGATAGTTTGGCGGTTATGGCTATTTATATACAGCTGTTTCGAGAAAGGTTTTCGGAAAAAAAGCGTAAAAGTGAACGCGATTACTCCGAAAGGTATTTCGAGTAGTTTTCAGGTCACGGTTCCTTGACCTTAGGTTTTTAGGAAAATTTGAGAAAATGGGCAAGGCATCGCGAGTTCGATGAATTCATTTATGAATTTACTCATTAAAATTCACCGATTATCAGATGTCCACATTACCTTTCGAGATCGTCGCGTGCACTTTTGTCCTTTTTACTGACAACCTCTCTTAAAACAGCTGTATACCAGTCCCTTCATTAACTTATTGAGACCACTAACTCTTACGTATTCCTTTAGTCTCAGGCAGACCCTCACCTCAGTGGCTCTATCAGCAGATCCACGCGCTTCCAGATGATGGTAATAAACATGCAACCGCTGAACTCCATACCAAGAAATCTGAAATTCCTTTTAAGAGGAAAGATGGCGTGAAGAGGCTGTTTAACTTCCTTGATTCTGCGATACAGGAAAGTGGAAGTGGAAGTGGCGAGGGATCAGCGGATGACCACGTTACTATGGCTACTGAACAACACGTTAGTACAACTGGCTCTAAAAGAAAGCAGCCTGCAGTAGTTGGAAATCCCGTGAGTCCCAAAAAGCAGAAGACAACAAGCTTTGGTGACTCTCCACAAAAGAAAAAGGAAGCCCAGGGACATGGAGTAAATGAAGGCCAGCTTCCAATAAACGGGCGTAAAAAAGTTTCTTACGATGCCAGTTCAAATCTCCAGAGCCATTATGCAGCTACAAATCAACAAGGATTGCAGAAATTCACAGTACCACAACAAACAGCAGGATATATGTCCAATAGTGGGCTTCAGAGTGTAAAATGTAAGAGCTTGAGAGTAAAAAATTCCCATGTAGTTTTCGGATAAATTTCCTAAACTAGTTATGATTTTTTTCTTTCCTCTTCGAATCAGATTCACCAAACATTTCTTTTCACTCTCGGACCATGCATGGTAGTCAAAGAAAAACAACTGGCTACTCGGTTGCTGGTCAGCGGACACAGTCGTATGGTGATGGAGTGTCGAGTAGGCGACCACCGGCTATTCCTGTGCGAAGTCAAGTCTCCGCAAGTCAAGGATTACCAGTGCAGGCTCTGCCGGCGCAGAATTTGATTCATGGTTTGTTTTCATTCACTGATAAATAGCACCCTATCCGGCATGAGGAACCAGTCGATATTTAGTGCCGGGGTGGGGGGGGGGGGGGGGGGTCTCTATGTAATATTCTTATGACCCGCCCCCCTCCCCCCAATTCATTGACTGTCAATTTTCTATCATCCTTCTTTATATTCTGATGTCGACGACTGATCCCCCTCTGCTCCCCCTGAAAACCATGTAATCCTCCCCAATACCCTCCGCCCCCTTAAGGTGGTTCCTAAATCTGCGTTAAACATTTCAGATTGAAGGCTTCAACTGCTCTTTCGTGGAAACATTTTGTAGAAAGTGCACGACAGATTTTGTAAGGCTTCTGTGTATAATCTCCACGATGGTTACCAGACATCGTTACCGTGTACAAATTTCAATAATTTTTTTTCTATCTTTTTTGCAGGAGTGCCACACAGATCGAACATACAACGACCATTTTACACCACGTTTACATTTACCTTCCCGAATTCATATAGAGACTATTACAGGTCCAAAGGCATCAAGTCTACCGAGCCGCTTCAGGGAAATGCATATGGTCAGCTACAGAGACAACGGAATCACTTTCATCAACAAGTGAGGGCACTTATCCCCGGGAGGGTACCTCTGGCACAACCATACAATCGTTACCCCTACCCAGCATCCCTTACGGGTGTTCCTGGTCAAACTAGAGGTGCTATTCAATCTCACTTTCAATATAATCCTCACAGTGTTGCAGTTTCTCGCGCTCGCTTTCCTGTTTTCCCACGTGTTGTTAATACTCCACCCAATGCAGCAAGTTTCCCTGGAAAGTTTTACTACAGAAACACTATTCCAAAACAGCAGGCAAGTTTTGCACGCAATGCACAAGGTTCTTTTCACACCTATAGTTATCCACTGCTTCAGCGGGCACAGGTTGGGCGGGCTGTGATAAGCCGAAAACCACAGTCTCAAATTCCGATGTCGTCGTTGACGGCAGCAGCAGCCAGAGGTTTACGACAACTCAGCCATACTCAACCATGGCTGAATCAGTCTGGTCTTCGTCTGCTCCACAAAAAAAGACACGTGCAGTGAGGAAGTCGATTAAACTCCTGGATCCGTTCAAGAAAGAGAGATGAATGCCAAAATTACCGCGAGGACGTTTCGAACAGACCTTTTCGAGACCCATTCACGACAAATATTTATATATTTGGATATTTTTACAAGATTTAAAAATAATAAATATTTAGTTAAGACAACTTGCTCTCAAATGGGGCAACAAAACAACAAATTCATGAAGGTCTGACATTCAACGACGTAACCCTGCAGTGTACTTTGTTTAGTTTTAATCGTGTCATATCTTGTAACTGCTATAACACGCAGAATTTGGGCTGTAAAGCGGCTCTTTCACGGGATTATATTTTCTCGTAGTGATTTAAACTGGAAAAGAGTCTTCCAAAGTCTGTGTAGAACACCACTGATCCTAGAAATGTCACACACTTCGTCAATGAATGATGCCTGTAAGGAACCTTTTCAAACATTTCTACTGAAGTAAATTTTTTTAAATTAAGAAATTATATGATGAGTTTTGATTGGGTTTGGAATGTAAATTTTTACTTTTTGAATGAGAAGGGATCTCGAAGAGAATTTTATTTTCAGCGATACAAGATAATTTTTACAATAAAAGTAACCTAAGAAAACCTAATTGAAAAGTATTGATTGATTGTTCCGCTCATAAACCCGATTCTTTCTCCCTCAAACAAGCAACAACAGCTTTATGCGAATATGGCACTTACTGAAAACAACTCCAAGGGCGAGTGGGTTCTTTCTTAAAATGTTAACATTATTAATATTGTGTCTAGGAGGATTGACTTCGTTTAACCCTCCGACTGGAAAAGTATGCATCTAAAAAATGTCACGTCGATGACCTCTAGTCATCATTGTCATACGAAGAGATTGGTTTAAGTGGTGTATAAGTTAACAGGAATGAAAATGCATAACATGCAGAAATGTACGCACACCGAAGATCAGCAAATGCTTAGGGGCATTTGGGGTCACCAGAAGTATATCATGCCGTGCACAGGGGCCACAAGGTTGTCAAAATTCACGCTTTTTAAAAAGTCAAGCAACAAGCAAGTGGGTGGCTCTCGTGGTGTACATCAAAAGAGCGCACGCGGTAGCACATTGCGAATTACAAGAGCAAAAAAGGCGTACGGCTCGAGTGCGATCAAATTGGAATAAACCCTTCAGAACCCACTGGAGCCAAGGAACTGCTTAACAATGTCTGGGAGTTTTTTGGGAAAAAAACCCAACAAACCGGCAACTGAAATTGTTCAGGACATAGCACGTTTTCACGAGTTGTTGATGAGCGAATCTTTCTCTGCGTCGGGTAAGCAAATTAATGCTAATAACATCTTAGTGAGACCGACTGCCAAAAGGGATTTTGTGGACACACAAAATAATACTCATCTTGTAGTAGCTTTGTTTACAACCATGTGGGCTAGACTTAAATTATATCGAGATGTTTTGGACAAGTTACAAGAAAGAGCCGCTATACTGACACAGATTTAATCATATTTCGTTGTGATCCTGAAGGGTGGAATCCCAGGACGGGTGCCGGATTTTTTGGGCGAGTTGACCTCCGAATTGAAGCCCACACAACACATTGACGAGTTTGCCTTTGGAGATTGTAAAAATTACACCTGCAAAGTGGCCAACAGGGGAACATGTTCACAATATCACAAAGGTTAAAGGTTTGATTAGTGAAAATAGCGCGTGCGCGAATTTTTTCCCGAAGGTCACACGTGACGGTGGGAAGTAACCTGTGTCTGGCGACTGGTTTAGATGCGTCCATGTCATTTCTTTCGCGAAGGTGTTCTTGGAATCTGTCACCTAGACTTCTTCCTGTTTCACCAATGTAAAATTTTTTTTGCAATGAGAACTCGTTATGTAACAGATGACATTGGCTGAGGTGCACGTGAAGTGATCAGTGATCTTGATGGATCTCTTGGGTCCCGACATTTTCTCTACGTTGTGTATGAAAGGACAAGTTTTGCATCGTGAGCGAGCGCAATTTGAAAGTTACAGGTTAGTCATTGGTTTGAAATGAAATTCTGACCAAAAAGTTGCCTATGTTTTTATCGTGTTTGAATGAAATAAGTGGAGGTTGCGAAAATAAAGTACCAGTCTCTGAATCAAAGCATTGTCAACAACACGTTTAACGCTCTTATAGCTAATCAAGAATTGCCGGCCACGACAAAAAGTCTCACCATTACCACTCATGGAACTTCGTGTATTTACTTTATACCCAAAATCCACAAACCTAATAACCCAGGTCGACCCATCGTCTCTACTTGCAGTTGTCCCACCGAACTTATTTCCAGCTATTTTGACAAAATTTATGGCACCTATCGTCAAAACTTTACTATCACACATTAACACACACTTAAATTTTCGCGACTTTAATTTCCTTGGCCACGACAAACTTCTTTATACTATGGATATTACATCTCTTTATACTGTCGTTCCCAATGACGAAGGTCTCCTAGCCCTCAAACATTTTTCGATCTACGCACTGTTAAGGAACCTAGCGATGAAACACTACTCCGTCAAGCCGAACTAGTACCAACACTTAATTGCTTTTCATTCGGTCGCAACTATCACAAACAAACTAATGGTGTAGCCAAGGGGACCAAAATGGGACCCAGCTGCGCTAATTTCACACATAGTTTGAAAAGAAACATTTACATGCATGATTTTCATTCATAGAAACTTGCTTTGAAGCTCGATCATTCATTACCAAAAAAGAAGATGCCATTTAAGTTTTTTTTAATCGTTTATTTAAGCAAAGTTGTTTGCTCAATTTAGAGTACATAGCCTCTTGATGGGTTCCATACGAATGGAACTATTGACCCAAGTTTACTGTGTCAAAATGGAACACAAAATGTTTATAAATCTAAAGAACACAAGTGTCTAAATCGTACCAGAGGCAATTCTGTGATGGACATTCCTCTTAAAGAGGGGAGGGGGAATGATGACTACACCGACAAAATTCATGTTAAAGACCGTCACAAAGGCGACAAAAAACATATATCCTGGTTCTAATACCACTCGAGTCTTAATTTCACACACCTAGAAAACTTTCAGAAGCCAATTCGAAGCCAGTTTCCTCGACATTTTAAGTGACCCGCTAGCTTCAACGATGTTAACAGGTGCCTAGGAAGCCCAGATGAGAAAGATGCACATTTCTGTTTCAGTGTCTTCATGGATGGTCTTCATTATTACCATCTTGTACCAGAAGTTCCCGGTTCTCATAGGTCCAAAAGCCATTCAAATCAATCAGAATACTTGTCACTGTCTCCCCTTGACCACTGTCAATTTAACAACAACTCAGTTAATTAGTGAAACCCAAAAATTCCCCATTTGTACTGCATTGTATGGTCATCAAGAACAACAAAGCACTCCAAAAGGATATCCAATCTCCCTAATAACCACCCTATGGCCTGTCCTGCCCTGACAACTCTGAGGGGAGTGGGGAAGGGGGGGGGGGGCGCAAATAAAAATCACTAGCTTTAGCAAGCACAAGGTTGAGTTACAAATTGATTCCAAAGAAATTTAGTCAGCCTAAGAGTAATTCTGAGACCAATGATGTCAGTTCCCCTTGAAACAGTTGATTACCAAAGAGGGGGCTTAGACCAGGCTAAACAGAAAGGAAACTACTGCAAACTGATGTTACCAAAGTTTACCAAATGATGTTAATTCTTGCCTGACCTGTTAACAAGATCTTGCAGAGTAATTTTGTAAGGATCCTCAGGCTTGACCATATCAAAAATCTCATCCTGAAAAATAATATGACCAGTAGGTTTCAGCAGGCAGTAGAATGACAAAAAGCTTTTCAGAAAAAAAAAATGGAGAAGTCACTCCATGTAATATGCACAAAAAGATACCACAGAAAATTTCAAGCTTGCAAATCAAACACAACACACTGATCTCATGGTTGTTTTCCAAGAGAAACATTAAATTATCATAGTAAGTTCTTCACCCTGCCAACAGACTAAACAAAAACAAAGATTGAAGACTATAACTCATACAGCATTTCAGCTCCCAGAATCTCTTACATGTTACTGGTACAGTTTGATCAGCATAACTTGAAAGTAAGCGGTAAGTCTTAGCTCAAAAACTCTATTCTCCATTCTTGAGACAGATTCTTGCAACTGATTCATGAAAGTTGCAAGAATGGAGAATTAAAAGAAAATAATTCTTTCTGAGCTTCACACCAAGGAGGGATGATCTAATGTGCCAAAGCCTGTGCACTGCTGCTCCCTACTCTAAACACTGAAGGGTAGGGGCTTCTATACAAACTACATTACCATGACATGTTTTTATGGCTACAAAAACTACAACAGTAATATCAGTCACTCATTACCTTAACATCAAGAAACTTCACTGGCTCATGTCCATGCTTTTTCATCTCCTCTTGAATTTCCTATAAACAAAAGATTGCCTGGCTGAAGTCTGACTGGCAGACCCATTCCTTAAAATATGATCATTCTGAAAATTATTTCCAAAAACTCACCCTAAAGAAGAAGTTTAATGAAAAGATGTTGAGATGTCCAACAGCCTGAAACAGAGACAAACAAGTGGATATCAAATAAAAAGCCACAAATTAAGCATTTTGGGGGGCTTAGAGGCCCCACATTATATTATTTTTAGGTTTTCATTAAGTTCTCTTCTTATGTACATCCTCTTACATGCATATGGGTATCCAACCCTGAAGTTGTTTCAATGCTACTAGCACTCGTCAAAATTTAAATGTGCACATAACAGTTAAAGCTGTTGCTATGGTAATCTGATATGTAAAGTAAGAAAAATACTATAACATGTTTTGAAGCAGTCAAACTCTGACAACATGCGGTAAATAATTCATAAGAACTCAGTTTAAAAGCCCTAACTACCTTATACGTCTGACAGCATGTAGTTTATATGTCACAAGACCTCTGTTTAAAGGCCTAACTATCCAACAAGTCTTCTTCAGCATAGTCAGAGCATGTGATTGCAAAGTCACAGGCATGACACATTCTAGGCAATCAAAATCTGGCATTTCACATACATGTGTTAATTGACTGAAAAAATGTTTTGTACAATCAAGAAAGTTGGGTATTTGTTTCAAATCACATTAATATTATTAGCTGATTTAACATCATGTACATGCAGGTGGGAGGATGACTGGGCCAACAAAGCACAAGTTGGCAGAGCACCACCTTTAAAAAAAAAATTAATGTTGGATATACCTGCACATCCAGGATCCTAAACATGTACTGCAGTGCCTTGTGGAAACAAAAAATAGAAAGTTATACAAAAAATCTCACTGATGCTCCAAAGGAAATATCACAAAACAGAGCTGGTGCATGGTTCTGAGTGTGTTTATACAAAGTACAATAAACTGTAATGAACACTTTGTCACAGATGACCCAATCCATGGACAAGTTATCTGTAATTCAGTGCATAAAGTATATCAACTGTATAATTACAAGGTCTTCAGTTCAAATTCTAGCACAGGTCATGGAATTTTCTTTGTCCCATGCTAAAAATAAATCAATAACTAAGCTAAATGTAAATGTACATGTATATCACGGACTTGTTCGTATGACCATTAGAGCAAGCATTTCTCTGAACATTTTTGTGTGTAATGACACCAACCTGTGGTTCTTTTCTGTTTTCTAATGCAAGCACAAAATCCAAATATGTTTTGTAGTCCTGTAACAAAAATATCATCCACATTTCATTACGGTAGCTTGTTAAGTAAAATTATAAGTGGAACTAAATTTGCTGCATAGCTGAAAATGGTGTTGGCGCACCTAATTTTCCTGGTAAAAACATCAGCTGTCCTGCTAAAAACTGCATCAACAGGCACAAAACATTTCCTTCTCGATTAGGAGTATCAGCACAGAATAAAACTACTCAGACTAGGCCATTACAACACTGCATGTCCAAACACACTATAAAGTACATAATGCAAGTGTCTTCAGTTATCCTAATGGAGAGTTTAAGAAAATTATGACAGCAATGGCAACAGGAATGTCACTAAACAAAAGGTTTAATGAGTAGAACAATGGCTGTGCTCATGCGTTCAACATCTTTGTAAATTTCTTTGTATCCTCTGCAAAACAACAACATGAAATAACTTTGTGTTGTCTGGAGAATGTGAACAATGACTGCTAATTTTGTAAATTTCTATTTCTAATTTAATGCTGTGTTCCATACTCAGTTTCGAAATAGTTTTGAGAGTAAGCAACAAACTAAATTACTTTAGGTCATCACGAGATTCATAGGTAAAATATAGGTTCATTTTGTAATTGACAATGTCCATGGTGTCGCTGTCATTTCCTAAACTCCCTAATGAGGTTGACTGGAAGAGACCTTTACTTTTCTAGTCTTCACAGGGGGTTAACCACATGTTCAAATAAGTCAAAGATTACTTTGGACAACTGAATTAACAAAGACTAAATATTGATGGACAGCATCTCATTAGTACACATACAGAGGTAAGTTTCACTTTCTCAATTCTGATTGACAACAAGCATAGATCTTTTGGCTGGCTAGCACTGCTTGTTTCTGACAAACCTATTGTAAGATGATGTCATACTTCCAGACAAATTGTTGTTACTCCTTTCAAGAGTGTGATATGTATCACCCTCAAGTGAATAATGCTCCTTAAAGTAGTCAATGTTGTCTTTTTATCAATGCTTACTCCACCATTAACTAACTCACCATTTCACCATCATATGTCAAACATTCCTGAAACACTCTGTCCACAAACACCTTGGTTAAGGTTCCTGAACCATATCTACAACATTAAGACTAACGTTTATCAACATTAAGATCATTCTGAGATATTTAATTAAAAATGAGTGTTAATTCAAAGTGTAACAACTTCAAATGTAGCCATGAACCATACCTTGCTAATTCTTCTTTACTCAACATTCCATTATGATCAGTATCAAGACTTAGATATTGCCCTGGAAAGTAATTAAAACAGTTTTTTTTAATGGAAATGAAATAGCTGAGTTGAGTTTAGAGGTTATTAAACATTTTTAATGAGTCAGGATAGTAAAATTAATACATGTGTGACTACCAATGCAAAACAATCTTACCATAGACTCTTAATGCTGAGGGTGCTGAAAACCAGTTTGCATCTTGTTGTTCTTTGGATAGGTCTTCATCTCTCAGCTACAACAGCACAAATAATTACTTGTCTACATTTTTCTTACCTCAATTCAACTACACAGATACAAATAATAGTTTGTAATGAAAGAAGAAATATCTAAATTTGCCTAGTTTATAGAGGTCATGATTCCAAGTAGGAAATACTCAAGTCACACACACATGTGCAACATATCAATAACAATTATTAAGGTTAGTCACATTCAAAAAATTACTGGAATTACATAATCAAAAGACACCATAACCAGAGGCAATAAGTACATTGAAACCAAGATTATGGTATTTTCCATTAAATTTCATAGTCTCTATGTTTTCATCTTCTTTGTGGCATTTCCAACACATTATTATCACTGTTGTGAAACATTTAATAGTGAGTAGTTGATGTTGACAGCCATACCTCAAGGAGATCATCCAGAAAACTACAGGCAAGGATGTCTTGAATCTTTATTTTTCCTGTTGGATGAAAAGGGTTTAACAAATTATAGAAAATTATTTCTATACTCTCTCCAATAGATTGTCAGATGTTTGTAAAGACCACTTACTGCAGAGGTGAAATAGTGTTCTTCTTCAACACGTTACAAGGGTGAAGTCAGTTTAGAACTATATCATCAAAATGTGTATTTTTAATTGGTTTCAAGTCATGTTTCACCCACGTGACAGAACTAGGGAATACATCCACTATTTGTCCTCTGTGTTTTATTACAACACTGCACCTACAATTACTGGAAATATTTGTAGAGAGGGTCACCTACATGTACATAACAGTTTCATCATGAGAAACAAGGCATTAAAAGTTCACAGACTGTTCAAATTTTAATGTTCCAGTTAACCCTTTAACTCCTAAGATTGACTAACATCTAATTTCTCCTTACAACATCACCCCTGAATCAAACATTAAGGTCATGAGATTCTCCTTGTCAGAACCCTCGGAAATGTCTAGGGAGTAGTATGAAGGATACGCATATTGATGTTAGGGAGTAAGGGGTTAAAAGCAAGATTTGTATGATTCACAGTAACTTGTATAACAGCAATGCCAGTGACTTAATGCAATAACTTATCTCTTCACATACTCCAGTTTCAGTGGGAACATGAAACCACGACACAACTGTTTAGGGGGTGTATCTGCTGCTGTCTGGCCTAAGCATTTTGTGGAATTAAGGGCAAAGAGATATTTTCAAAATTTAACAGGTTTCCTATCCACCCTCCTTACCTGTCCTGAGAGGATCCAAAAAGAAGAAAAACTTTCTAACAGCAGTGCACACATAGAAAGAATAAAATGACTTCTCAAGGCCATCCAACTACAAAACAAAAGGTATTGTGGCATTTTTTATTGAAGATAAAATAGCCCTCTGCCTCCATAGGAAAACAATAGGACCTTAAGCAGTCAGGGCGGCAACACCAAAGAAGAATTCAATTAAAAAATGAATTTCTCCCTTTAATTAGAATTTCAAAAATGGCTGCATTTGTTTACCATCTCATACAGCACCACACCTCAACTTCAGCATAACATGTAAAAGAAGCTTTGGGTTTCGAATGGAAATTAAAATAATTTGCTGTCCCAGTTTCGGTTGGCAGACACAAATTGTGGTGATTTCATGTTGTTGTTTTGCATAGGACAGCTAAGAAATGTACAAAGTTTTAAAACACACATGCTGAGCTATTTTTCTTCCAATTATATATTTTGTTTTTCCATGTCCTCATTGCCCTCACTGTCGTGGTTTGCTTAAGGTCCCCAATATGATGTAAATGTAAGAACCTCACTTTTACACCCTTGTCGAAAATCACTTGTTCCTTGAATAATATTATTGGAAGGGAGTTGTCCGACTGGACAATATCACTCAACACCACCAAAAAAATAAATAGCATTTCAGTGCGGGCTGTAATTATTACAAAGTTACATATACTTGATACTTGTTTATTGTGAAGTATTGTATATTGTGCACAACCATCAAAGAGTGTGAAATTAAGTATTTTTTGAAATATTCAACATTTTAAACTTAGCACAGACCATCCCGTGATATGATGTGGTACACTGTGGTGCACTGTTGTGATAAAGAATAACCAAGTGATGAACAACAACTGATTTCCATAGCATAATATATATTATTGCCCAAGCACATGTGTATAAAGATAAAAAAAAATACCTGAGGTAAGGTTGGGATTAACTCCAAAATATAATTTTCCAGGTCCTGAAAAATATAATAAAACAATCATATCCTGTAACAGTCATGAGTAATTTTCAACAGATGCATTGCAATTTTTAGTTATTCAACACAAATTTATGATTTCTTAATCAATCTCTTTCCCACACTGAGTGATACTGGCACTGCTTCTTGGATAAGCAACTCTTGCCCATATGCAAATATGTGAGCTTGTCAACAGTGGATCCACAACTAAAGAGAAGCCAAGCAGGGAATTACTTTGCAAATTAAAACTAAGACACATTGTTCAGTTATTAATGTCTTTGAAAAACCATTACATTTTCGGATGTGAGATTGACAAAAGCCAAAAATTAGGAGTTACTAATCAATTGACAGAGAAATTGCTGTTTAACATGTAATGAAAAATTGATTTATGCAGGGAGTACAGTTTACCCTGATACCAGTATTTACAAGCTTACCGACTCTTTCAAGTATCCTTGTCCTGCAACATCATACAAACTGAGACCTATTCTGGTTTGATGAAGCCAAACTGCAAATATAAAAGACAAACTCTTTTTCCAGCAATTAGATAACTATGCATCATAACCAAGCAATAACCAATTCACTATTAAGTACATGTTGAAAAAGAGCTTCATAGGCAATAAGAATCTGGGTTGAATCTTGCCAAAGCAGATGAAGTGCACTTCAAGCACATCCTTTGAGCCACAGTCCAACCATTTCAAAGATTCATGTTCTTTTTGTAGTAGGGACAATCACATTAATTGAATTAAAAAATTTTAGCCTACTCAAACTACTCATCTACAGCTACATGTATGTGTACATCAATGACCAGGACAGAGTAACAGAATTCAGAAATACAGAAATTTAATTCTTAATAGTATAAATCTATATAATATTCACTATCAAAACAAGCAAAACTACCCTTACTAATACTACATATTTAGTTCCAGCAGGTACAAAAAAATATTGAGTTGATGCTTGGTATTTACAATAAATTAACTGTAAGCAAAGGGTAATTGTAAAGAATAAATTTTATCCTCATATATTTTATCCTCACATAGGCCTATAAAGTGTGTTGTGAGCTCAACCATGAGAGATTGTTGCTCACAGGAAGTTGAAGTTGATGTCACCCAAAGTGGCTTCAGCCAGGTAAAGGAGGTCTCAATATCACTGATCACATGAATAAAAATCCATTAGCTAACTCAAACTTACCTTTACGCATCACATAATTGAAAAACTGCATGATTGATATCCTGAAATAAACAGAACACCTTCAAATTAGAAGACTCTGTGCATTCTTTCATGTTTCAAAAAATGCAAGTACATGTAAAATCCACAACTATCCGCTTAACTTAATCCTAATTTTCAAAACTTATAAATTTTAGTTGATGTTTGTTCTTTATTTAAACTAGCAATGACGTATTCCAGCTGTTACCAGTAAGTTTGGATTGGTTCACAGGTCATGATATCTGATTTACCTACACCCTTGCCAACAATTCCACCCTCATTGCTGAATAAACAAAGCATTTTTTTTTTGGATCAATGACCAAAAAGAATTATTCCACTTGCACTTATTGAATATGAGTAAACTATGCACTTACAGGCTTAATTGTTAACTAATGTGCTCACCTTCCAAAAGGATCCTGTTGAAACAGCTTGGCAAAAACAGTTGCACTAAAAAATGGCCTAAAGAGTATTCAAGAAAATGAAAAATTATAAACACTGCTTACAAAAAAAATCTCTATCAATGATAAAGATATTTTCTCTGTCTGGAAGGATCTGTATTTGTCAATGTCTAAGGAGTACTGTATACCCCTCATCCAATCCAGTAGGTCTATAGTAAGTGACCATTCCTTCTTTCATAACAAGAGGAGTGACAGGTCTGTACCTACCATCACACACAATGTTAAACAATTTCTTTATCCTAGCACAACAAGGTTAGGTCAAGCCTTACCAGCCTAGTTTCCAATAACTGCTGAGCATTATCTAAGTTTCTATCACAATAGGTAACAAGGAATTTGTCTTTTTCTTTTTGATTGAAACCTACTCCGTAGGTAATTACAAAGGTAACTAATCAAATTTCACACTTGGCAGGCCTTTATTTGTATTCCTAGCTGGGGAGAGATACAGTGGGAGCAAAACATGGAGCACATGAACAAAACATAAAGACCAGGCTAAATTTTACACCATGACCACTTGGTAGAGAGTCTAACACAATTACCAAAAGGCCAATTTGTCTCCCTGTATGTCTAAATAATGTTTGGTTAATTTTATATTCATGGCTATGCTCTTGCACAATGCAGGTACCATGGGCTACTAAATCAAGCGTTGAGGCAACCTTAATGAATAACTTTTATGAAGTAAACCTTTTAAGATCTGGGCACTCCA